TGTGCCGCCGGAGCCCGGGAGGGGAAGTGCCCGGCCAGGGGCGCAGGGTCCGGAGGCATAGGGGCTGCCCGAAGCCCATAGCGCTTGGGCAGCTCGGCTCTTAAACAGAGCCGAAGAGTCGGGGAGGAGCAGAGCAGCCGTGGGAGGGGAAGTGCCCGGCCAGGGGCGCAGGGTCCGGAGGCATAGGGGCTGCCCGAAGCCCATAGCGCTTGGGCAGCTCGGCTCTTAAACAGAGCCGAAGAGTCGGGGAGGAGCAGAGCAGCCGTGGGAGGGGAAGTGCCCGGCCAGGGGCGCAGGGTCCGGAGGCATAGGGGCTGCCCGAAGCCCATAGCGCTTGGGCAGCTCGGCTCTTAAACAGAGCCGAAGAGTCGGGGAGGAGCAGAGCAGCCGTGGGAGGGGAAGTGCCCGACGGCATTTTCCCGGACATGTTCGGCTTTTTGGCAATTCCCCCCGGACGGGGGTTTGATTGCCGAAAAGACGGACATGTCCGGGAAAAACCGGACGTATGGTAACCCTAGCATATATCATGTCACAAGTGCAGAATCCTGCAGTTTCCTTTGTTTGCTGGCTTTTCTCAGCCAAAATGAAAACTTCCCAGAGTGTACAGTTAGTGCTGTTCAAGCTATACTTTTCTCAATAACTCTTCCCTGCAGCAGACACATTGAAAGGCTAAATGAGGGCATTCCCTAGAGTAGCACCTGAGATGGGGATTGTTGAGGAGTGGAGTCTGTCCCTTAACTGGGAGTTGAGGCCCTAGGTGAGCAGCTTTTCCGAGAACAGTTGGCATGGTACATGGAAAACTGATTGCAGTTAGGCAGCCAGTTACATAGCTCGACAGAGATTGCTTTTGTTCCTGTTGTGCAATTATGAATCTTCTTTCCTGCAGCTCTGTTTACAGTGTCACTCACCACAGACTATACTGCCTAAACGCATTCTCTTGCCATAAATACAAGAAGTCTCAAACCCAGGCCTCTTTTCTCCTGGCATCTACATGAGGTAAGTGATAAGAAAATAATAGCTGCTGCAGCTAGAAAGCTGGAGCTGTCTTTCCTCCCCGTTTTCTCTCTCAGATATCTTTACCTTACTCCTCCTGAAGCATTTCACAGACTCTTTTGATGACTCTTCAGAAGCTTTATTTCCCGACTGCCCAGGGTTGCTAGTGGAAGTCCTCACAGTAGGCTGCAGACCTAGGAAAACAACACATAGCAAAACATTTCCAGACGATCACATGCACATCCTCCTGCTTCATTTCTAAGCATTCTCTGTGTTGTATTTACAGTCTCTTTATGCAGCAATTCCTGAAATTGTTTTTTTTATTTTTTGCCATTTTGTTTGTAATCTACCGAGCAAGTCTCCTACTTGCAATTTTTTTTACATCCATTATATATATATATGCGGGCTGAGGGACGTACTGGCCGCCGCTTCCAGCAGCTCCCATTGGCCTGGAACCGCGGGCAGTGGGAGCCGCGATCGGCCGGACCTGCGGGCACAGCGGGTAAACAAACTGGCCTGGCCTGCCAGGGACTTTTCCTACACAAGTGGTGTCCCAAGTTTGGGAAACACTGTCCTAAGGGAAGTAGTGGAACCACCATCATGTGGGATATTTAAAGGTAGACCAAGAATATACTGTGAAGTACAACTAGCAAGGAGTGGGGGACAGGGTATGATTAGAGAGGAACTCCAAGTCTCTTCCATCTCTGATTTCTGGAATCCTCTTTATTCAGTTAGCTACAGGTTTTTCAGAGAGGAGATTTTATTTGCTTGGATACCTGGTCTTGTTTCCTTCAGTTAATCCTTTTAACTGAAATTATTGTACTAAATCTCTGTTACAAGTGAAGAAGACATTATCACTTACTCTCCTCATCTGCAAGAAAGAATGACTCAGGGGTTCTTTCAGGAAGTGGAGGAGGGGAGGAAGAGCGATCCCGGTGTTTCTCTGAGATACCAAGCGTGACACAGGTAAGGGAAACAAAACAATACAGTTTATTAGCGTTTTAAAATCCTTTGTGACACTGTCAGACTGGTCAACTTGGGTATGACCCATAACAACTTAAGAGGCATTGAAATGTAATCACGACAACGTACTTATATGTCAAGTATCAGAGGGGTAGCCGTGTTAGTCTGAATCTGTAAAAAGCAACAAAGGATCCTGTGGCACCTTTAAGACTAACAGAAGTATTGGGAGCATAAGCTTTCGTGGGTAAGAACCTCCCTTCTTCAGAGGCAAGAAGGGAGTTTCTTACCCACGAAAGCTTATGCTCCCAATACT